CGAAGTGAAAAGTGTTACCCAATGTTTTGTTTGGTATTAAATATGACTGGTGTCAGGTTTACTGGTGACTACATCCTCCCTGCATGTGGATAGATATCTGAGACCTGTGGTCCACCATCTTCCACACAGAGATCTCCTGACTTAAAGTAAAGTTCACTGAAGAAAAGCAGCCGCTTTAAGGCCTTTTTATCTGGTAAAAAACTTGACACATTACAAGAAAACACGTTTACTTTTGGCTTTGAAAACCACAATAAAGTTGTTGGCCTCCCCATAAACTTTGCAATTGTATCTCTCATTATTAGAAATGATCTCTGTGGAACTCTATAGCTCAAACCAACTGTGCAAAGGGAAATATAATTGACCCTTTGTCCATGGCACTGGAGAAAGTTATATAATAAACAATATAACTGATTTTGTTATTTAAAAAAAAACATTTGTTTGAATCTTTGTCGGGCAGTCCAGTGGTCCAGAAGTAAACAAATGATGAGGCTGATGACTTGTGTTACAGTACTGAATCCAACTTTAAGTAGGCCTATAGGAAAATAAACATTTTCTCACAAAAAGAGATACATCTTCCAAAAAGTGCATAAATAACATGGTATTCATTTAAATTGCCTTGATTTTATTGGATGACGGTTCAGAATATTTAACTGCACAGATTCACTGAGGAATGTTCTTGATAGTAATAGCTCACTGGTGCACAGTTTACGAGTTCAGCATGTTTAAATGTTCTGTTTGGGATTGTAATCACCCTTCCTGTTTGAAAGATAAAGAGGAACACCCAGATCTAAAAATAGCATAACCTCATAAACACTTGTGAATGCACGTATGCATGACCTGTTTGTTAAACAACATGTTTCATAGGCACTGCCTTCGGTCCTAGTTATGCTAGGACATCCTACTGTATGGATTATGTTGTTTTAAATGTCAGGGGTTGAGTGAACTAGAAATGGTGAAGCTAGTTGTGGAGAATGCGTGTGTTGGGAAAAATTGTCCAGGACAATGTCTAGGCCTAAATAATTTTTAAAAAGTATTAAATGCAATTCAGTTTAGCTTAAAAAAAAAAGAAAGAGTGTATGGTTATTCACTTGAATTAGCAATAAATCACAGAGTTGCCAGATTCAATACACTTTGCAGCTACAGCCTCATGGTCTGGCAAGCTTGCTAACGTTAGCATGTATTAGCGAAGGTTGGACAGATATTGCTGACATCAGTTTGCCGACAGTTTGACTCCTCCCTTTTTAAACTGCTGCCAAGGCCTACTCAGAAGAAACATAAAGCTAATAAAAGAAGTCAATGAAAGAACTTGTGTGTACGCAAAGATTTGCCCTGGAAGGTCCAGTGACCGTGACAGGGACAGTTCAAGTTGAGGCAGCACACAAAACATTTCCTGTTAATCATTCTAAAGCTGTAAGACTCTAAATGTATTAAGGATGAAAGGGTTACGAAGAGAAACAGAATTGTAGTTCCTTTGTCGTTTTTACAAATGCTGAGTGAGCTATCCAACCCACTCTCTTCAGTCTCACTCCATGCACACTAGATACAGCTGCTAGCTCCGTGTACAGTAAGGTTCAAGGTTCTTTATTTGTCAAATGAACATAGCGAAAAGTGAAATAGTGCAATAAGAGTCTATATGCAAGTCATAAAAATATGATATATTAGGTAAATAGATATACATAATTTTAAAGTAGTAGCCAGATGAATATTGTGGATGTTGTTTCAACAGTTCAGGTGTTTAACAGTCTTATTGCCTGTGGGATGAAACTGTCCCTGAGTGGTGGTTTTAGTCCGGATGCTGCGGTAGCGCCTGCCAGACGGCAGCAGACAGAACAGTTTGTGGCTGGGGTGATGGGGGGTCTTTTATAATCCGGAGGGATTTCTTCCTGAGCCGCTGGGAGTAAAGGTCCTCCATGGATGGCAGGTCCGTCCTGGTGTTGTTCTGTGCCCTTTTCACCACCCTCTGTAAAGCCTTGCGGTTGAGGGCGGTGCAGCTGCCGTACCAGGCCGTGATGCAGCCATTCGGGATGGGCCTACTCTCTATGGTGCACCTGTAGAAGTTGCAGGGTATCCTGGTGTCCATGTTGAATCCCCTCAGCCTGCGGAGGAAGAAGAGCCGCTGTCGAGCTTTTTTGATGATGATGGAGTAAAACATGAAAACTGACAAAAAAGTTAAAAAACAACTTTAAAATGTCTTATGTGGTTAATGCACTGATTGCTAACCCATACATCTATTCAATTCATACCATTTGAGGGCTTACTTTGACTGACAGAATATCTCCATTACTTTCTATCCTCCAATTTTCTAAATCACCCAAGAGAAAGTTTTTTTTCAAGCAGAATGGAAACATGATGGGCGGGATCATAAACTGTCCTCCAATGGTAGGTGACTTCAGGAATTGGAATTGTTCTTAATTGTTCCGGAGTTCCTCCCAACCAGAAAACCCCCCAACGCAGAGCAGTCTGAGCCTCAGTACGACAGACAGGACAGAAGGTAGGTGCTTTAATATTTTTCATGGTAATTCTTGTAAAGCCAGTAGGCTATTAGTAGATGGTTTTCTGTACATTTATTTTAAGTATGACGGGGTAACTGTAGACATTCTACAATGTTTTTTAAACTGCCCTCAAGCTTGACCAACGCATGATAGCCAGACAGATTACAAGTGAATGTTAATGAGTCAAATTGCTGTCTCCACCACATCCCCAAACAGAGGACCTGCAAAATGTGACTAAACTTTTATGTCCTTTTCAGACAGGCACAATGGAGGTGAAGGTGTTGGTGGACGGTATTCCCCGCGTGGTTTGTGGCGTAGCAAAGGAAACGACATGTCAAGAAGTCGTTATAGCATTGGCTCAAGCCCTTGGTATGTACAGTATACTATATGTGGCTCTACATTGAAATCCTTATGTCCTGACATGTCGACAACACTGACAACAACACTGTCACACCTCTCTTAAGGTCAACCAGGGCGCTACACATTACAGGAGAAATTTAAAGACTTTGAGCGGAGCATGGCACCCAATGAATGCCTACTGGAGACTCTTGAGAAATACGGCCAGCAGGCAAGGGACGTCCGACTCACACTGCTTCACAACGGACCCTTGGTCTTGGATGAAATGAGCAGGACAAAAGTTGGCAGATACCAGCCTTGCCCACCATTGAGAAGGAAAGATGCAGGCACCAGAATGCGGCGGGGAAGCGGTTTACTGAGTTTGCATCGTCAAAGTTTGCCACCAAGTTTGAGACAAGAGGCTGAGCAGCAGAAAGAGGATGTGAAACGGCCCAAAAGAAAGTCTCTGACGCTCATGGAGGAAGCCTGGGAATGGCTGGAGAGTCTGGGTAAAGGCAAGGTCTATAGTACCGCATGTGATAAGGACAGCAGTAAGAAAACCGATAAAAGGAATTGTACCTCTTTGGGTGTTTCTCTCACTGTGGACGATGGTAACTCAGGTAGAAGAAGTAGAAGCAAAGTCAGAGGTCAGAAAAGTGTGAAGTCAGACTTGGATCATCAAACGTCCTGCTGCATGGGAAGCCAGACGAGGGGTAAAGTAAGTAAACGAGCAGAGAAGACTGAAGTGGCAAAATCTGATCAAGTAACCAGCTCGAAATCTGCTACAAGTGAAGACGAGAAAAACAGTCTAAGAGAAACCATAATATGTCAACTGAGCTGTTTGCAGGATTTGCAGGACCAGATTGCACACAGAGATAAACAGATTTTGGAGCTTGAGGAAAAACAACGGTCTGAAAAAGATGAGCAGGAAGCCCAGGAGAGAATGGTTGAAGAGGAGGTAGAGCAAATCAAGTTTTGGGAGAATGAGTTAAAGGCAGAGGAAGGTTTCGAGAAAGATTTGCAAAGCCAGTTCCTTGAGATGAGAGCAAATACTGTTAGGTGCAAGGCCAAACTGGAGGAGTACAAGCACAAAATGCAGGGGCTTGATTTCTTTGCCACTCCAAACATTGCTGAAGGGGTTTCAGAGAGAATTTCGGAAAACGTTGAAAATGCTGCCACGGAGAATTCAGCTGTTTCAACTAAGGACCAACAATCTTATCAAGATGGGGATGTAAATATTAACAGGAAGTTCCTGCCCAGTGAGGACTTGAACCCTCCTCACGCTCTACTTCCTCCCGGGCAGATAAAGGAGCGACGGCCCACCGGGCCGACAGAACTGAGGGAGTGGTGGACACGCTGGTCTCAAGCCCAAGGCCCTCAACCACAGACTAGAAAGAAGGTGATTCACCGCTCTGAGCTTACCATATATCTGGGCAGTACCAAGGTTTAGAATCATATTGACAAATGTCCCAAATATTAAGACTTTAGGACAATATTGGGAATGCCTTCCTGTGTGGTCATTTCAATCCTCCCAATGCAAGATGCTGATCCTTCTGGTTCAACATGTATTCGGCATTTTGTAAATGTGCAACTCTGAACTCCTAAGCGAGTGAACAAGGGGTTTTACAGGAAGTACTTCCATAAGAAAACCCAAAAAGAAAAATCTTAAGCTACTTTTGTGTACAGTACAATAAACATGCACTGAAAAAATACTTAATCTTAAATTCAAAACTACCTCTGTAAGGAGGATTTTGTGAATCGAATATGAGACCATGCATATCTGCAAACAATATTGTACACTCTACTTAAATATAGGGAAATAAAGAACTTTCTTTTTTTCCAGCTTTCATGTGAGCACTTTGTGGATGCCGTCCACAATTTGAGGAACCATTAACTTTGTAAACTAAACTTTTGTGACACTGAATCTTCTTTGAGGAAACGGATCATTTTATCTCTTGGAGAACCCATCTAAATGCAACTTTGTCTTTATGTAATAAACCATTAGCTAATCTCTCCAAATACCTTTTTACATTCTTATTTCTTGCCCTTAAGTGAATGCTAGGGTGTTAACATTGGTCAACTTAAAGTGATTTCACAGCTACTTAAATTATTTCTGTGTTCAGTCATACATAATGCAGAATTTCTATGAAAACAGACAATGTACAACAGCTCGTGATTTTCATAAAACTTTAATTCATTTGTTTCATTCAAGACAAAAGAACATGAGAACCTCTGTGGTTCAACTTAAACCCAGTGATCTCCAAAGTTTAAATTAATTTATACTGTAACTTTATGTGCAGAGGCGCACAGCTCACCCACCATGTCTCTCCGTTTCACAATAACTGGTAACCTGATTCTTAATGCTTTTTTAATTTATTTTCTTTTAACTGAATTTCTAATACTTCACCCTTCGCCTTTTTTTAAGTTAAATTTGTTTTGTTATATTTTGACGTTCCAAAGAACTTCCACTAAGCAAAAAAAACAAAACAAAAAAAGCACACATTACATACAGTATAGTTCAACCCACAGGTTTGGGATGCATATCAGTATAATTTCTACTAGAAAAAAAAGAAGAAGCCACCCTTAGATTGTTCAGATTTTTTTGGCGGTTGGCTGGGAACAGAGGGTACATCTAATTTTTTGTTTTTCTTTTTTTTTATATTTTGCTTGTAGTTTTTTTAGGCACCTTATTCTTACTTAATTCAATATTAGCAGATTTTCAATGGAAAAAAAGCAAAAATATGTGCAAGAGAGAAAAAAAAAAAAAAAAAAGGTGTAAAAGAACTGCAGATAAGATGCCACAAGGAATTCTGCACCTGGGAAAAAATTGCTTAAGCGGAGCATGTGAATACCAAAAAGGTATCTAAAGGCTCCAGATTGGTGAAAGTAAATCCCATTAGATTAACTACATTGACATTCACATACATCACACACATACACACCATGCTTTCACCTCAGCTCTTCAATAAAGCGTTTTAAAACTGCTCAAAAAAACCGAGCAGAGAAGAATCCTCAGTTTAAGCTCGCACATGAGAAATATGATCCTCCTTATGGAGGGAACTTTGCTTTGCTTTATGAGTCTTGTAGGAAAGCATACAGTAGTGAAAACTTGATAATGAAACCATATCTAAGTTTCCATGGGTAAAGGAGCAAAAATATGAAAAACACAAAAAAAGGAGCAGATGCTCAGAGACATCCCAGGCAAACTATTGGACAGATTACAGGTGCAGAATTCCAGACAAAGCAGGTTAAAAAAAAATAGGGACATAGACAGCCACACAGTCATCACTCTGATTTAGAGGGACGAGACCCTCAGAAACAAATACCTCCGTTACACACTACAATCACTGCTAGGATACATCACACACGCACACACTCAGAGCCCCCTCCCCATGTACGCTGGAACTCTGCAGCAGGTCCATCATAACGGGGGGAGGCGAGGCAGGGAACTGTGGAATGAGAAAAGTTCCCTCGCAGGTATCGATGGGACAAAGATTACACATGACGATTACTGTATGTTTGTGTGTGTTCTGTCTATGAATGCCTGTGTGCAAGCATGTGTTGAATCAAATTCCCTTATCGTCGCCCTCTGGGAAAGCTTCCCACCAACACCAAACAGGGTGGGCTCTGTATGGCTCAGTCGATGACACCCGGCTGGCGAGTCTTGCGCTCCACATTGAAGCCCTGCGGAGAAGGATGCATGGTATTAATGTTGCAGCTTACACCTTTGTATATACACCACTCCACATGTACGGAGTAAAAACTGACGAAAGGGAGCTGCAATTCCTCGACAACTAAATTGATGTTTTTTGGAAACTAAAAAGAAATTCCTAGGGGTTGCAATTCATCATTAAGTAAGACTGAGATAACAGATATTAAAAAGTACAATTCGCAATCCTGTAGAAATCCAGATTGATTAAACTATAATGCCTGGGTCATAATTCATTGCAGGTATACTTCCTTACATATATCTCACATTATGGAAATCAATATTGTCTATAAAATGAGACATTTGCTTTTAGTTAGCAAACAAAAAGCAAAAAACATGTGCTTTTAATAATTTGTTAATTAATGTGCATGTTATTTTTTTGTTTTCAAAATAACAGTTCATATAACTTTGTGAGGTTTATGAGTGTAAATTATTTTTACTTCATCATTTTTTATTTCTGGGGGGTACGTTAGATTAAGAATACTTTAGGCCTTTTCTTTCACTACCCTCAATTACTTTTATCAAAATGCAAATTTCTTTTGTTCACACTTATTGCAGTGTTTTATGAATGAATAAAACTACCACTATAATCCAGTGAAAAGTCCTGATTTCCTATGTGTACTGAAATATTTTAAAGGGCCCATGTCATGCTTTTCCGGTTATTACCCGTCCCCTTGTGTGTTATGAAGCTTTTTCTGCATGTAAACGGTCTGCAGAGTCACAAACCCTCAAAGTACACCCTGTAGCGAGTAAAACTCAACACTCTAACACCTGTCTATGCTGCCCCAGTGGAGCCTCGTTCGTTTACCTTTGAATTGTCGGGACCCCGGGGCTGCCTTACAATCACCAGACGTGGAGCACTGGCGTCGTCAAGGGTGATGCTCTTCAATCGGTTTACCAGACGATCTGGACGCGGAGTCGCCACAGGCTTAGGCCCTTCGCTGTAACGTCAGGTTAACAGTGAGCATTCATTCTGAAACATTCTGATTACAGTTCAATAAACCACACTTTACATTCTGCAGTCTTTACCTGACTCTGCGTACGTTGCAGGCACTACATTTTCCTGTGCGTTGATTGAGGACGACAGAGAACTCCACCTCATCCCCGGTCTGGAGCTCTAGGCCATCTTGCACTTCCTTTACATGGAAGAAAAGCTTCTTGCTCTCACCAACTTCATATGTGATGAAGCCAAACTGGGGACAACAAAACAACATGATTGCAGGATTAAACATTTGGAGTAATTCAGTCCAGCGTCTATTAAAAGCAACGCAAGGCTTCTTTTTTCATTATACTTTGAGGTTTCTGATAAATGTGATGTAAAAAATAAATAAAATACTAAATCTTTGCAAATGGATTTCTAATCTATTCAATAAATGTAATCGGTACAATGTACTTTTATGCAATGTATCGGATTTTTTTTTCTAAATATTTAATTTGTTTCTCCGATTGTAAATATATAAATATACTTTAGTAAACTTACTGTAATTTGGTCATTTTCAAATGGCATGTGCTGTGATGCTGTAATTCTACTATAGGGCTTTAAATCAGTTTTAAGTGCATTTGTTTTCCTTGGTGTATATATTTATTAAGTAGGTTATTTTAGCCATCCTGCAATAATTATCTTATAATGAATAGCTGTTCAATAAGGGTTGATGTCCTAGCCTTCAGTGGTGAAAGAGAAGAGACATCTTCATGTTCAACAATATAAAATACTTTTGATAAATGTTTTATTAAAGTAACTTTATGTAGCAAAATGTACTTCATTATTCAGTGCACATAAACGGTTTCCGAGGTCACTGTTTACAAGTAGCTTTTTTCCCCTACAATGTGACCCAGAGGTATGAGCATGAATTCAACTCAAACGGCTGATCAGTACCTGGTCTTTGACACACTCCACCATGGCTCTGCGCTGAGGGACCACGTTACAGGCCATCTTCTGTCCAGTTTGGGTTACTGTGCAGTCCTGGAACTTCACCAGCTCTCCTTTCTGCAGACAATCCCCCTTGTTCGACATTCCCATGATTCCAAAGGGATAACTCTGGCCTTTATTTGCACCTGGAACAATGACAGAGGGATGAAATCTTTGTATTCTTCCCCAAAAGAAAAACACTTTGAACATTAGGTCCCGTCACAACTTTACACCCACCTTCCTCTGTGATTTCAATAAGCCCTTGGTATTCTGTCTGGGAGGGGTCCACACTGCGTAAGGGACGGATGACTTTCCCCATCATCACTGTCGCACCAACATCCTCACTGATGCCATTCACTGAAAGAGGAGACAGTTGGTTTTAAACACTTCATTTGCAACACATGACTAATGTAAGTGCAACAGCTGGAATGAAACCCTTCATACCTGCAGCCACTTTGGTAACCTTTTCCGCACTGACTTTGTTTCCTTTTCCTTTAGAGAGAGTGTACTCCACGGTGTCGCCCAGCTCCAAGTTCTCCAAGTCTCCACACATTTCACTGAGAGGAGAACAATATATTTACACTTTGAGTGTGATTTAAATGAACAGATGTTGCTGACAAAGTTAATTCAGCAAATGACTTATTAAAACGTAATTTACAACTTTAAGCTTTACCTGTAGTGAAAGAAAATCTCCTGGTCATGGTTTGCAGTCTCAATGAAGCCAAAGTTGTCCTTGAGTGTGGCAACAAATCCCAGCAGTCTCTTGGCGTTGGAGGCATTACGGTTGAGGACCCGGATAGAGACTGCGCTCTGCAGGCCGGTCCGCTTCACTTCATTGATGGAGAACTCCACCTAGAGGACAAACATATTAATAGGTCACATACAGGTGGTGGATCGTGATTGAAGAATCTAAATGTGCACTCTTCAGCAGTGTCGGAAGGGCTTTAGTTTATAACTTTATATACAAGTCCTTTCCATTAGGAGTTTACACCTTTGGTTACCCCTTGTACCGTAAGAGTTAAAATAATTAATATTTGCAAACTAAGCATTTGGCTTCTGTCAAATGATCCAACTTATTGAGAAGATGTTTTTTTTTCTGCGATCTGCTTCGTAATGCAAGAAAATATGGGAGCTTGATTGCAAATTTCTCTCGCTCCGATTGGAGGGATGGGATTTAGATTCTGGTATAACCGCTCCGTTTACATTTTGTTCAAAGGCACACATTGCTTCAAAGATATAGCCTATCAAACATTTGCATTCCTTAATGCATGATGGTTTTTCCAAATCCAATGAGTAAGCAAGTTAAATAACATGACTCATGAATTTTGCCATGTTCCAGCAGCACTATGGAAGCAAAATTGCTAAGTGCAGTCTAACTCAGTACATACCTTGTCTCCAACTTGTGGGTATCCTCCCTCTAGATCCTTGTTATGGTATGGCACAGTGAGCTTCTCTCCACAGTCTTCATATGCAATCACTCCTTCCTCAGCTTCCTGCTGAGACAACAAATATTATGTTACAATAATGAGCATCACCTATAGTTGATCCAACTCCCGCAGCTGAGCTGGACAGTCTCATCAATGCTGCTGGATTGGATGATTCAAGACCATGTAGTATATTAGAATATGGTGTGCAGAGAAAGCCTACACAAGCATGTGAGAGGAAACAGTGTGCAATGCATAACTCTGCAGCAGTGTAGTTGGTTAGCCTTAGCTTACTGCAACATTTCTGAGTTACAGCCTACTATGAATGGATCCATAATTAGCCATAACTATTGCAGTTTGATAGGGAACACTCTGCAATATTCACATTGTTTATTCAAAGTACTTGCCTGAACAAATCACAACATGCAATTTAGTGGCATTTTCATGTTTATAATCAATGTTTCAAATAAGCTTGGTAGGTTGGGCAATCACAGAAAATCAGCAGACTATTTTATGCTTCCTAATCTGTTGCTTCAACTTCCAATTATTATGAAAATATTCATCAACTTTCTTAATTTCAAGTGCCAAACTGGAAAACAGTAACAATGAACACCTTCCTGGTCTCCAAGAAGAGAAGCTGCAAATATTATAAGGAAGCACCTTGCTCCCAACATTTCCTTATATTTCTAAGGGTTAATTGGTGATCAAATACCATGCTGTTAACTCAATGGGTAAAGGAGGCAACCGGTGTGCCAGCAAAGACCAACCTTTTCTACAACTTTAGCCTTGTAAAATAAAAGAAAAAAGACATTTTAGACAAGGCTAGTCAATGTCACACTTTTGAATTTGTACACTGTATAATCTGTCAGACTGATCATATATAAAAACTCTAGGAATAATATATTTATTCTAATACTGTAAGTGAAATGTGTGGACTGTTGCTGTAATTCTGTGTACATTTCTTTAGCATTTGAGACTTTATTGATGTGGCTTCATGCAGAGCGACACAGGCCTACCTTGTCTCTTTTCTAACAAGGAGCATGAACAGGAGGTCGTCATGGGACGAGAAAGCAAAGAGGAAAATTAGAACTAAAAGAGGAATTTATGTGGACTACGAGGCTATTGTTTTTGAATTCCCTGGGAATATTTTATGTACAATAATATTGTGCATTATTGCGCACTGTGGTACCTTTTCCTTGCCCTTGGTGGGGGAGGCATTCTTGGTGGTGGCTGCCACTACTTCCTTCTCCACTACACCCATAAATCGCTGCTCAGACTGGGTATGGAAGGACACTGTGCCCTTGGGCAGCTTCTTGATGCGTACTGCGTGGTTCCTCTGAGCCGACAGCATATCCTGGTGACAAACAGGACATCTACTTTAGCTTTTTGTTGAAGATTAACTCAAATTTGCCTGAATAGATAGTAAGACAGAATACATACTTTTGTGAAAAGCTTATAAACAGGACCTACAGGCACAACAGTGAACTCCACTTCATCTGAGATGTGCAGTTGGCTTTCCTCCAGGACTTCACTGAAGTGGAAGAACATCCTGGCGTCCCGGTCCACGCACTTGATGAAGCCGAAGCCGTCACGTATAGCTGCAATCACACCCTGCAAGAGGAATGGGTGATAAGGTTATTACTGTGGACAGGCATTGATTAAATAGCGAGACTTCTGCAGGAGAAATCACAACAATGTCATTATTTTGTATTCCCCACCATTTCACGGCTCTCCTTGGTGAAGTCGAAGGTGTCAGGGAGGATGTCGATGTTGGTCGCCCTCTCCAGCTTGTCTCTGCGGTCGGTGGAGATGTTGAACTGGATGTGGTCTCCCTCCAGAAGAGTCACCTTGGACTTTGTGTCCTTCTCACCAAATGGGAGCTCCTTGTCAGCAAAGCCAATTTGGGAGCTGATGCGGCCGGGAAGAGGGTCGTTCTGTAGAAATGGAAAAGATAAACCTTAATGATTGCCATAGGGCAGGGGTGGCCAACCCGCGGCTCTCGAGCCGCATGCGGCTCTTTGCCTAGTTTCATGCGGCTCTTCAGTTCATATCGAGTTGTATATGTGTGAGTTTGGGGGAGAGACACTGACTCCTGACTAGTGTTGCACGGTGGACCGATACTTGAAAGGTATACCGCGATACCCTGCCGTTAAAAACGTTACGATTCCTCCGTTTCATTAGTATCGGTACTTTAAGAATGACGGGGGAAAGTACTCCGGTGAGAATGCGCCCTTTTAATAAGAGCCGTGTGTGTTCAGTAGGGGTGGGCGGATTGATCCCAAAATATCGATACTTCCGATATTACGTTACGTTTCAAAATATCGATACTCGAGCCAATAGGATCGATACTTTTATACTTTTTTTTCCCCGTCTCCTCTACTCGTCAATTTCTTCAAAAAACTATGTGCAGACGAACACAAGTATATGCTCTTTTCTTCTCTCTCCACTGCTGTCCTCCTCTCCTTGAGGCTCGCGCACGCGCAGCGCGCTTCCTGCCTGAACACCGATTATCAAGCTGACCGATTATCAAGCTGACTGACAGCAGCCGACAGGACAGCAGCAGCCAGCGACTCGCGAGTGCAACACACACACGCTAAGGCTGAGAGAAAGAGGAGCGTTGTGTGGAGCGAACTGTGATGTGTGCAAGAAGACAGTTTGCTACTCTGGCCACTTTGTATTGTTATTTTTCATGTTTGCACTTTCAATTTGCAAAAGTAAAACGTTTATTTGTCTATAAAAACTGTCCTGTCTTTATTCATGAAAATGAATTCAGATTTAGTCTATTTATGATGCTTTCAGCTCAAAAATCATGTCATGCAGCTCCCCTCTATATGAAAGTACATAAGACGCTTTTATCGGCATCAGCGATACAGGCCCTGAAATACTTGGTATCGGATCGAATCCAGATTTTGTGGCATCGCCCACCCCTAGTGTTGGGGGAGGTTACTTCAAAAAGAGACCCCATAAAGGGTGTGGCTGAGCGCTGAGGACTCATAAATACTGCAAGGAGCCAATTGGGACAGATTGGGATAAAACCACCTGCTTCCACGTGAAAGGGGGGATTTGGGTTTTTGTCAGTGTCCTTTGTGTATTCTGTTACTATTAATTATCCCTTGGTTTCAACTTGGTTTGGCCAAGCCACTATATGCAGGTGCATCTCAATAAATTAGAATATCATGGAAAAGTTCAATTTCCAGTTTAATTAATTTCATTAATTCAATTCAAAAAGTGAAACTCATATATTATATGGATTCACTACACACAAAGGGAAATATGTCAAGGCTTTATTTTTTGTAAATCTTGATGATTACGGCTTGCAGCTAATGAAAACCCCAAAATCATTATCTCAGAAACCGGAAGCCCCACAGTTTTAGTTCTTCCGGTTTGCAAAGACATAGGGTCTTAAAAATATATATCTACTAAGTATATAAAATATCTTGTATAGCCAAACTAGTAATTACACTGCATCAAGATTATGTTAAGAAAAAGATGTTGGTTTATTTAAGATATTTGAGATATTTCTAGATATTCTAGAAATGGCGTTTTTCGGTTGGTTCTTTCTTTTTTGGTTACTGTGATCTTCTTCAGAACATTGTTGGTTACTGTGATGTTCTACAGTACATTGTTGGTTACTGTGAATATCTACAGTACATTGTTGGTTACTGTGATTATCTACAGTACATTGTTGGTTACTGTGATTGTCTACAGTACATTGTTGGTTACTGTGAATATCTACAGTACATTGTTGGTTACTGTGATTTTATACAGTTGGGACGTTACTACTGCTATTTCTACAGTAACTCCAGAGTTGCTGTAAGTTTTGGTTGGAAACACAGTATTATACTCTAAAATGGTATACGGTAATTTACTGTGCACAAACACTGTAAATAACTGTGGATTTCCATTTGCCATTTTTTACAGTGTGAGGCCTTCTCTGAACTTCCTCTAACCTCTGTGTCAGCTCACTTAAAATACATCTATTGATAATTCAGAACGACCATTGTCTCTCTAACTCTGTGTGACCCAACTCAGTAACACACATCATAGCTTACCATGTGACCTTAATGAATATGCCAGCAAAAAAGCTGTAATAAGGATTGCCATAACAATACAGTTGTGTTTGTAGTTCCAAGATTCACATACTACATACTACTAAGAAGCTTCTGCCACAATAGGGTCAGCTATCTGGAAACTATTAAGCACAGTGGGCCAGATGTAAGATTTTTATTCATGGTAAAAAGCCCCACATTTGACCTCATCTTTATTAATTGTCTCATATTAGAAACTTGTTTACAGACTCAGGGTAACAAAAAATAACTTAAATCACTTACTTACAAAGGGTGTCCGCTGGGTCCTAAAAAGTATTAAAAGTTGATAAATCAATTTAGCGAAAATTAAGGCTATTAAAAAGTATTACACTGCATTTTCCAAGGTATTCAATTTTGTAGCTTGTTTCAATAGCCGCGTTCACACCGCAGTACTTTTCCCACTTTAGTTCCGATATAGTTCCGAGAGGTCGCTTTGCCACCAAAAAGAGCCGGAACAAAAATTTGTTCATCGGAGCCTTTTTTACCCCCTTTTCCCGCTGCTAGAGAGGTACTTTCGTGGGAGAAAAAGGTTCCTATGTCTGATTGGCTGGGCGGAATGCAAACCACGCCCCGTAAAACTCCCAAAACGTTTTGT